CATGGGGATGTCAGTACCCAGTGTCTGTATCCCATGGGGATTTCAGTACCCAGTGTCTGTATCCCATGGGGATGTCAGTACCCTGTGTCTGTATCCCATGGGGATGTCAATACCCTGTGTCTGTATCCCATGGGGATTTCAGTACCCTTTGTCTGTATCCCATGGGATGTTCAGTCTGTACCCAGTGTCTGTATCCCATGGGGATGTCAGTACCCTGTGTCTGTATCCCATGGAGATTTCAGCACCCAGTGTCTGTATCCCATGGGGATGTCAATACCCTGTGTCTGTATCCCATGGGGATGTCAGTACCCTGTGTCTGTATCCCATGGGGATGTCAGTACCAAGTGCCTGTATCCCATGGGGATTTCTGTTCCCATAGTCTTTACCCCATGGGGATTTCTGTTCCCAGTGTCTGTATCCCATGGGATGTCAGTACCAAGTGTCCATCACCCTATTCGGGACACTTGTCTTCCCTAATGGGATCACAAGACGGATCATATTCCCATTAACCAATACCGGTACTTACTTTTATCAGAGAAGGTCTTCCTCTCCTTATGAAGTGTTTGGAGTGCCAATGAACAAACATACAATACAACGATTAACTATCATTGTATGTATTTACATATTTTATTATCAGTGATTTTGCATATATTTGTATTTCTATTTAGATTTCTCATTGACGGGGCATTCATGCAAATAAACCTAAATTTTGACTTCTATTACCTTATTTGCATATAGTAGAATTTGCTTAAGTCAGTCAATTCTATAAAAAAAAATTAAAACCTTGGTTTGTAAATACAGAACATAGATTAATAGACAGGACTTGTATGCAGCAGGTTCAAATTTGAGTTTCCGTAAATACACCAATTCATCACTGGATTGCCTGGTCCATCATTTGATTGTCTCACTCGACTGTTTACAAGTTCAGTTCAGTTCAGCATTAGTCAACAAACAATAATTTACAAAAATAATTTCATGCAAAGTATGTAAACAAGGGAGGTCATGCTTATCCTTTATTGAACACCTGGTGTCATCACTGATCCAATTTTTTTTTACATATTTATACTATTTTTAAAAATACATTTTAATTGCTAATTTGTTGACCAAATGGAATTGGAATCAGCTTCAGGATATACTCAAAACTCATTGTTCTCTGTAATTGATGTTTATGTTTAATCAAATGTCAATAATTAAACAATTATCCCCTTATGAGATGACTAGTGATCAGGGCCCATATTCTCGAAACGTTCGTAGCCCTAAGAATTCTTAACTTTGATCGTAGCCAATGTGTTAAGAATGGGCTTAAGAAGTTCGTAAGGCTACGAACGTTTCGAGAATTGCTAGCCTGAGTAACAACCATATCAGTGTAAACTAATGCTTAGTCACTGAGCAGGGAATATACATAATTTTGATAGAAACAACCAATTCCTTTTAACTGAAAAAGAAGGGAGATCCTGAATCTGAGGGAATGTACACTTGCTTCATTTAGGACTTTAGCATTACAGAAAAGGCTTGGTGGAAGGGAAAATATGCAGTTAAGGGACTGAGAAAGACCAAGATCAGTATAATGATAGTTTGTTTCACGTAACAAGATAATGGGACTACTTATATAAATAGAATCACCACTATGTACATTTTGCGATGTTGAAATAGAATCTATCATTCAGTTATTATATGAATGCAAACATGTCAAAAAGCTGTGGCAAGATCTACTAGAATGGATTGAAAATGAAACAGACACCCATTTGAAATTAAACGCAGAAACCATTATTCTCGGATTCAAAGAGAGAAGAAATGATGTACTGAATTTTATTTTCATATTAACTAAAGAGTACATATATTCTAGAAAGTTAGCAAACATTGTACCTTCTCTCGCTAGTCTGAAACCAAAATTGAATTACAATTACCACTTACACAAATTTAATGCATACTCTCACTGCAAATACGACACTTTTGTTACATTTTGGTCGTCTTGCCACAATCTATTTACATAGATAATGACTTTGTAATTTGACTCCTATATAAAGCAACAAAAATGCTGACTTGTTAAATGTGCATGATATGCTGTACCCAGATCAAAAAGAAATAAAGTGATAAAAAAGAAAGAAAAGATAATGGGACAGCTTATTCTATCCCAGTCATTCCTATCTTTAGACAGCTAGGCACTTACACCAACAACCTACCAGCAAGTTCTCATACATTTTCAAAGGGGCATCTACATTGAGTAATATTTACACAAAGGTTGAACTTCACAAACTAGCTTCTTCATAGAAACTTTGGAGGTAATCAAACAGAAAGATTTTCCTTCAGTCAGAAAGTTTGATAACGACAGTGTGGTGATAAGAGTGCATTGTAGGAGTGTACTGTCTGTCTGACACCTATCACAATCTGGCTGTTGGATCCCTCTCCCCAATGACAATGCTTCTCTGTCTGTCTGACACCTGCCTCCAACCCTGGGTCTCTGATCGTCCCCTCACCTTTACACTGCCCTGCCTGTCCAACATTTGGTAACAACCCTGACTGTGTGACCCCCTTAACACCTGCCCACAACCCTGACTGTGTGACCCCCCTAACACCTGCCCACAACCCTGACTGTGTGACCCCTTAACACCTGCTCACAACCCTGAACTAACACCTGCCCACAGCCCTGTGTGACCCCTAAAACACCTGCCCACAACCCTGACTGTGTGACCCCTTAACACCTGCCCACAACCCTGACTGTGTGACCCCCACACCTGCCCACAACCCTGACTGTGTGACCCCCTAACACCTGCCCACAACCCTGATTGTGTGACCCCCTAACACCTGCCCACAGCCCTGACTGTGTGACCCCTAACACCTGCCCACAGCCCTGACTGTGTGACCCCCTAACACCTGCCCACAACCCTGACTGTGTGACCCCCTAACACCTGCCCACAACCCTGACTGTGTGACCCCCTGACACCTGCCCACAACCCTGATTGTGTCACCCCCCTGCCCACAGCCCTGGTTTCTGACCCCAGCCCTAACACCTGCCCACAGCCCTGACTGTGTGACCCCTATAACACCTGCCCACAACCCTGACTGTGTGACCCCTTAACACCTGCCCACAACCCTGACTGTGTGACCCCCTTAACACCTGCCCACAACCCTGACTGTGTGACCCCCTTAACACCTGCCCACAACCCTGACTGTGTGACCCCTAAACACCTGCCCACAACCCTGACTGTCTGACCCCCAACACCTGCCCACAACCCTGACTGTGTGACCCCTTAACACCTGCCCACAACCCTGACTGTGTGACCCCCTAACACCTGCCCACAACCCTGACTGTGTCACCCCCCTAATACCTACCACCAGCCCCTGGTTTCTGACCCCCCTAACACCTGCCCACAACCCCTGGTATCTGACCCCACTAACACAAACTACTAATCTGGTTGTCAGACCCTCCCATCACCAAAACTTACCTGCCTGTTGACACCAACCCACAACCCTGACTTGCTGACATCTATCACTACCTTTCTTTTGGACCCTTCTCCCACATTGACTCTACTACTCTGCCTACGACACCTGCTGCCAACCCTGGGTGTCTGACACCCCTAACACCTACCTCTACCCTGGCTGTCAAGCTCCTTCCTCTCTCCCACCCCCACCCACCAACCTCCACCCTCGTGTCTGAGCTCCTTTCTAGGGCAGTCATGAAGACCACTGACTAAAACGTACACAATCATAACCTCACTCCTTACAACAGTGCACAAAATTCATTCCTACTCAAAACTGTGCTTTTATTCATAAGCCTCTGGCTGGCATACTGGTATCATTAGCCTATACAAGGAGACATTACTCCTGACAATATCTTCACGACACTTGTTTTACATCAAAACAAACTTGCAATAGTTACAATATAAAGGATGACACACACAGATCATGTTCACCCTCAGTGTTAGATTCAGTGTTAGTTTACACACCTATAACAAGCCTTGATATTGTGGAGTCACGCCGAGATACTTGTGGAGGGGTAGGGCGGTAGGGTTGTAAGAGTGTAGGGGTATAAGGGTGTAAAGGTGAGTTAAAGGGGTATAGTGGTGTAAGGGTGTAGGGATATATTAAGGGTGTAGTGGTACAACAGTGTAATGGTGAAGTGGTGTAAGGGTGTAGGGATGTATTAAGGGTGTAAAGGTGAGTTAAAGGGGTATAGTGGTGTATGGGTGTAGGGATGTATTAAGGGTGTAGTGGTACAACTGTGTAATGGTGATGTGGTGTACGGGTGTAGGGATGTATTAAGGGTGTAAAGGTGAGTTAAAGGGGTATAGTGGTGTAAGGGTGTAGGGATGTATCAAGGGTGTAGTGGTACAACTGTGTAATGGTGAAGTGGTGTAAGGGTGTAGGGATGTATTAAGGGTGTAAAGGTGAGTTAAAGGGGTATAGTGGTGTAAGGGTGTAGGGATGTATTAAGGGTGTAGTGGTACAACTGTGTAATGGTGAAGTGGTGTAAGGGTGTAGAGTTGAAGGGGTGCAGTGATGTAAGAATGTAGTGATGTAAGGGTGTACTGGTAAGAGGGTGTCCTCGTCTATGTATGGATGTAGGGGTGTTACTAACGGGTGAAGGGATGTGAGGCTGTATGGGTGTAATAAAGGTCTACCAATTTGGCTTTTTTGTCTAGGAGAATGAACAGTCACCAAAAAGGACCATGACAGAATACCTAATTTGGGGGAAAAGTAATGAAAAACTGGACAATGACATTCTTTAGTAAATTCCACTCCAATCTTATGATAAAATCAGCCCCTAATTACATCACATGTGATCACAACAATGGTCCCTATAATATCACTATAATGATCCCTATAAAATCACTATAATGATCTTAACCTTCAAGTAAGCAGACAATGATAAACACCACACTAGTGAAACGAATGGTATGAGCTAGCATGACAGGTATGTGTGTATATGGACAGTTACAGAAGTAACAACAAATCTGGCTTCTCTATTACACCTCTCATCCAACATTCCAGTCACTCACCTGTGATATCAGTAATATAATTATCCACAGCAGTAATCCTGTGCCCGTGTCCCTTCTGGATGTAAATGTGTCCTATCAACTCCCTTCAGCTCTACAGTGTGCAGCCAGCACAGACAACCTGGGCCTTGGTACACACTCCGACACAAACACGGACACACCTTTCCCCGACACACACTTCAACAGAACTGAGAACTTGGCACAGAAACCACTGGCCTAGACTATCTGAGTACAGACTGTTGTCAATGTTTGAAGACACACTCCCAGCTACTTCAACAGATCCACGACACTACACAGAAGAGTGCACCAACCTGGTCGTCTCCGCTGCAGCTTACCTGTCTAAACGAGGTGAGTGAGCTCCGTGGATCCAGGTAAAGGTGTACTGGAGGCTCTGTGCGACTCAGCATGAGACGATCGTCAGGCCTGGTTGAGTTTCAGACATCCGCTGTCTGTACCATGGGAAACTGTACACAGTGGAGACGAGGGCTGGAGGTTTTATTTACAATAGAAAATGTTGAAAGGTATATTTTTTTCATCTAAATACATTCATGAGTTAGTCTGTTACGCATTAGCAGTTTATAGCTGGAATGTGAGGTTTACATGGCTGATTTGACTTAATGTGGAGGAATTTGTTCAGTTAAAGTATGACAAAAGCTTCAGCGAGGGTTTAGGTGTCAGATTTTTTATCAGTACTATAAATAAAGTGATGCTTTGTGAGAGTAAAATAATTTCTTTCTGATATCATACTTCATTATCATAGATATGTGCTATTTTTTCCATTACATCTGCAAGGAATATCTTCAAACAATGGATTGCTGTGTTTGTTTTGTTCTTTGTTGTTTAGCACCATGCTGAGCAATATTCCAGCTATGTGACGTCAGTCTGTAATACTAGAGTCTGGACCAGACAATCCAGTGATCATCAACATCGATCTGGTCAATTGTGATACAATGATATGCATCAATCAAGTCAGTAAACCCGACAACCTGACAAGAATGGGTTACTGAAGACCAATTCAAAAACATGGATCTTCACATATGGACTGCTGTGAAAACTGTTGGATAATTACCTAAAAATCACTCACTCACACACTGGATTGTCATTAAATATGTAGGGGTTCACGGATATGTGTAGGGAAGTTATGGACAACTTCAGCAAGAAATTGTGAAACATACTACAATTACATTTATTTTAGAAAAAATAGAAAGATAGTGACTATTTAAAAAAAAACACAAATGGAGGATTCCTTCAACTATGTACAAGAGTTGAATCCTGAAGGTTAGTGAGTGAATGCTGTTAAATGCAGCATAAATACACTCATATACTTGCAGCTAGTGACAATCCATTCAGAACTAGGATAGCTAGTGACTGATAGCATGAGTACCTAGAGGTTATAAACGCATAGTGACATACAATCAGTTATGTCTCCAACACTATCAGTTTTAGCACAGGCAGAGCTGAGGATCAAGATTAGCCCCTCCCACTACACCCCAAAAGCAAAAAAAGAGAAGAAAAAAACCTTGTTCATCTCAGAAGGTGATATTTACTTGTGATGCCTACAAACACTGTGTAACAGGTGTATTATATATTTATTGATGACGGCAGCAAAAAGTGATGTAGAAGTGGTCATTGGAGAATTTTGGAAACTTTGTAGGATGAGGAAAAGTTCTAACAATAATGATAAAGCCAGTTTGGAAGGATATAAAATAGTAAGTCAAATAAAATCAATTCTATAAACAAGATTGAAAAGATTCATATAATGAATAGGCTTACCTATGTAAATGGTGAGTTGAGGTGAAATTGGGTTTAACGATGTGCTTGAGAATATTTCGCTCGTATGATGACGTGCATGCGTGTGTATGTGTATGTGTATGTGCGGCTGCTTGTACTAGCCCAGACTGAAGCTGGTTTTATAGTGCTAGCCCACTGAGATACCATGCCGCAGTGAAGCATGAAGACCCCACTCAGACACATTATACTGACTCTGAGCTGACCAGTCCTTGTTGTACCCATTAATGCGGAGCGCCAGACAGGGACCAACAAGTACCATATTTTAACGTCTTTTGGTATGACACAGTCGGGGATCGAACCCGCGACATTCCGCTCTCCGGGCGGACGCTCTAACCACTACACCACGGAGGTGGTCACCTATGTAAAAGAACCAACGTTAGGTGTTTGAAGGGCATTTAGAAGTGAAGAACAGGAGATGTTGGGTTTTTTTGTATCAACTTCTTTGTTTGTTAAACATAAAGTTTCAGAGTTAATTAAATTTTACTCTTATTTCAGATGTTTAACAAATAAAGAAGCCGATATTTAAAATAAAAATCTTTGACCAATTTATGTGTTTTTTTGCAACACTTACCACTGACAAAATGAACTGAAGAAAGCTCTGCTTCAAAAAGACCTTTGAGTCAGTGATGAAAAATAAAATATATTGTTATAGGGCTAACAATAGACATAAGATTTGTTCACATGCCGCTGTTACAGGGACCTGGTGGTGAAACAGGTCTGACCTACCCATTGCTATGCTTCTTCCAGCCACACCCTACACTTGAACAAGGATGGGCAGGAAATAGCAGACACCTGCAGACTCGTGGCTAGGAAGCAAACAGGGTGACTCTTAAGAATAATATATCTGCACTCCTAATGAGATCATGTGGTGACAGAAATAATTATTTCATAAACCAAACTATTTCACAGACAGTAGTAGTAGTGACTTTGATAGGGGAAAGACCATTAAAAATTCATGGGTAGGTTGGTAGGAATTTTGGTAGAAACAGGTCTATTCTTTTGTTGACTCTTATACGACAGTATAGCAAATAAATTAATTAAAAGGTTTATCACAACAGTTTTCCTTTCATGATATCCTGCATTGCCAGTGTACAATATATTTATTTATTTATTTATTTATTTATTTATTTATTTATTTATTTATTTATTTATTTATTTATTTATTTATTTATTTATTTATTACAGTGCCATATTTATTTATTTATTTGTTTGTTTGATTGTTTATTTATTACAGTGCCACATTTATTTATTAATTTTTATTCATCTATTTACAGTGTCAATTGAAGTCATTCATTTAAATTTCAGCTAAATTTTTTATAACATACTTTCAATGAAACATTTGTTTATATATTTATCTATTTTCAGTGAACAATTTATAAATTTGTTTGTTTGTTTGAAAGGGGTTGTAGTTGTAGTGCATGCACATTTTATTCACAGTATGCCACTGATATTCATATTTATAGAAAAGTGGGCGTTCTTAGTGTGAAATTGTATATGTCTGAGGGGGTGGCTGTGGCTGGGGTTGGTAGCTGAGAACAAATGATTTCTCAAGAATATCAGATGGTTTGTCCCTGGTCAGGAGCATGTGACAACAAACATGGTGGTCGAACTCTGCTACACTCATTGTTATTGACCATTTCAGCCACAGACACAGCAAGATGGTGGACTCCTGTCCGTGTCTTTATGGCTTCAAGTTGCCATTTAGTGAACACCTAAAGAGGTGTGGGTACTGTCTGGCCCTGTGTGACGGTTACCCCTGACCGCTAGCATTGTTCCCTCCACTGCCCATGTTTTGTTAGTTTACTCTATAAGAAACAACGTAAACACATTCTAATCATGCCTGACAGCTGGAACACTACAAACCATGTGGTGGACTGAACTGAACCTGCTACTGTACACCACTCCCTCCCATCACCCGTGAAGATCCGGGTTACAATTGATCATCAGTAACCCATGCTTGTCGTGAAGATCCGGGTTACAATTGATCATCAGTAATCCATGCTTGTCGTAAGAGACGACTAACAGGATCGGGTGGTCAGGCTCGCTGACTTGTTTGACACGTCACCGTATCTCATTTGCGTAGATTGATACTCATGATGTTGATTACTGGATTGTCTGGTATAGACTTGATTGTTTACAAGTGCCGCCATATAGCTGGAATAATGCTGAGTGCAGCGTTAAACAACAAACAAAAAACCCCAAACAAACAAAAACCTCATGACAAACAATGTGTGTGTGTGTACATGTGTGCGTGTGTGAGTGTGTGTATGCATGCGTGCATGTGTAAATGTAGGCAACAAGCTAAGGTTAAGGTTTGGTTTGTTTGTTGTTTAACGCCGCACTCATCAATGTGCCAGCTATGTGTTGTAAATAATTGAGCCTGGACCAGACAATCCAGTGATGAACATCATGAGCATCTACACAATTGGGATGCAATGACATGTGTCAACCAAGCTAGCGAGCCTGACCACCCGATCCCGTTAGTTGCCTCTTACGACAAGCATGGGTTGTTCAAGACCAGGGTGCCGTTGTACAAAGCGATCTTAACACTAAGGTGATCGTAACTCCCATACCTTAACATAGACTTATGACAGTCTTAGCGCTAAGGTTGTTTTGTACAACGGCACACAGTTCTAACTTTAAGGACTAGACAGGGTAATAAGTATACTTTTCATCTTTTATAATGACTCAGCCAGATCATAAAGTTGAGGGCGATGGGGTAGCCTAGTGGTTAGAGCGTTCGCTCGTCACGCCAAAGGCCCGGGTTCGATTCCCCACATGGGTACAATATGTGAAGCCCATTGCTGGTGTCCCCCACAGCGATGGAATATTGCTGGAATATTGCTAAAAGCAGCATAAAACCATACTCGCTAACTCACTCATAAATTTGATATTTTTTATGTCCAGACACTTTATCCATTACACAACAGAGGCAGTGTGTCAGCTACAGAGTCTATGTCTGAAAGAACACTGTCCGCAAATGTCCAAACAAAATTTCAAAACTTCTTTTGTATCCATTATACATCACCTTTAGTATACCCGTGAAGGTCCGGGTTAGAATATTGATCTTCAGTAACCCATGCTTGTCTAACGGGATCGGGTGGTCAGGCTCGCTGGCTTGGTTCACACATGTCATCGGTTCCCAGTTGCGTAGATCGATGCTCATGCTGTTGATCACTGGATTGTCTGGTCGAGACTCGATTATTTAGCTGGAATATAGTGTGGCATAAAACTAAACTCACTCACTCACCTTTAGTGAGTGCATGTGAGTGAGTTTAGTTTTAACACTCACCTCTAGTAAGCAGGAAACCTTGTTCCAAGTAACATAGAAGGGTCAGTCTCACTCAGATCAGGAATGGACATTGTGTTTCCAGTTTCCAGTGATGAATTGTGTAAAACCACACTACAGATATTCTTGTTAGAGTAAACTGCAGCTGATCAAATAATGTGTTTAGGTCAATAGATGTTATACAGTAATATGTACCAATGGAGGGCATGTGATACAGATGTTATATACAGAATTGACAGAACTCCTTCA